ACTGTTTTTCAAAACCTAATTTCATATATATATCAATACAAACACTTAGTCACTTCATGTCTTACTGCTGCCAGCTTGGGATGTGCTTAGCTTGCAGCTGGGTCGCTTCGTGAGGGTGGCCTTATCCAGCAACAAGTCGGTCTAATTGACAGACTCAGAGAGGGCGACGCTGGTCTCCTTCTTAGCCGGGGCCACGCTGGCACGCTGAAAATGCTCCGTAAACTGCTCAGTTGATTCAAGCTCCTTGCAAGCATCCAAAAGCCCTGCTGCAAGCTTCCCAGCAGTTTCCTGATCGTAGTCTTCATGCCCACCCAGGCAGGGCAGCTGCAGAAGAACTCACCTACGCTGGCTGCTGAGGAAAGCACTGTTGCCCTTGTTCTTTGGATTGCTGTCTTTGCCTGCAATTGCTTTAAAAAGAATCACCCAGCTCAACCTGCACAATTAACGCAGTGAAAAGCTGCGCCCAACGGAAACAACAGGCAGCACGCGCAAGCAATAGAGCTGCGGGAAGACCTTTGCTAAACTCTGCTTGCTCGGAAACGAGTTGAAAGATGGCAGTGATGGGCAATGTCAAAGGGGTTGCACAATGTTGCACAGATTTTGAAGCTAAGATGCATCACAGCATCTGGGCAAAATCCATGGAAAGTCAACCGATTTCCAACCCCAGCGTGCCTCAGCCTCAAGCCAAGGACCCACCCACAAGGCCTGGGAACATGGTAGAGCAGCGGTAGGGTGTGACCAGTCGCAGCTACGTACCGCCTCGTTGCATAGCATGAAGAAGGCGTGCTTCGTGTTCCCTGGCAAAGCGGCATAGGCTTTTCCATTCCTGCGATGTCCCAAATCAAAGAAATGCGTTCGGAGCTTCAAGGCTTTCATGCACAAAGATGCAAAGCGTGAAAAGTGAATCATCTGGATCAGCTCCTTGGCTCCAAGCCAGAGCTCGGCCTGCGGCTCCTCCTCTCAAAGGGATGCCACGCAGAGGCCACGAAGCAAAAGACTCGTAAGAAACCCGCTGCCTCGACCCAGGGCTCGCCCTGGGGATCGCCTGCGTCAGGTTGCCAGGCGTCCTGCCACAAAACAAAAAGCATCACAAAAGCATCACCTGTAACCACTAGTGACTAGTGTAGCTACGTACTTCTAGCATCTTGTAGCTATGACGTAGCTTGGAGATGTAACTGTAGACAAGAAGTTCTGACCATACAAAATGCAATCCTCGTCGCCGCGGTGTGGAATGTTTTTTGTCTTCCAGGGAAAAGTGCAGCCACGCTTGGCAGCACTGTGCCCTGTGACCCCAGCTCAGTGGGAATGGACACAGGTGATATCGGCTGTGTGAGGATGGGCACGCTTGCAGTTGATCCCAAGTCCGTGGGAAGGGACAAGGGTGATGCCAGCTCCGTAGGGAGGGAGACAGGTGGCCCCAGCTCTGTGGGGGAGGTTGCGGGTAGCTCGGGCTCAGTGGGGAGGGAGACGGGCCGCCCCAGTCCGGGGGTGATGAACCCGGCCGGCTGCACCTCATGAACCAGCTTGACGCATCTGCTGCCAATTTACTGACTTTGCTCACGTCCTGACACTAGACGGCCAAACCCAAACACAATTTCAAGACAGCATTGCCTGCGCAGCAAAATCATGCAGCGCCACGCTGGCCTCAGGACTCAGCAGTCGGCACTCTGTCAAATACTGCGTCGTCATTTCTATGGGAGCAAAAGCTTTAGACGAACCTGAGTGCAGGGCGGGACCATCTCGGAGACCTTGCTCCAAAGACTGCAGCTCCAGCAGCGGATCCTCCCTCGAACCTGCTAAAACACAGCTGCTGGGACATCACTTTTGCGCTCTTTACTCAAAACTGCACTCCATGACTCCATGCCTCGGGCTTCAGCGCATCTCCCCTTGCGACGTGCAAGACGCGTGCAAAACGCGCCAAAGCAAAGTGCGCAAAGCAAAGCGTCGGTTCGGGAGGCCTGGAAGTACCAGCGGGCCCCCATAGCCGCTGTCGCGAACAAAAGCACCAGCACTAGCACCAGCCAGGCCTGATCCCAAAGCATGAAGTTTGACACCAAGCTTAGGAAAACCCACCGCGGCCTCGTGCCCGGAGCCGCGCTCCCCGTGCTGGAGCCCTGCACGATAGCCCTGCACGACTCAGCGAAATCAAGGCAAAGTTGAAGGGCCCAAGGGCCCTAAACCCGACGCTCCTCCACAAGCAGCCGCCACTCGCTATTCCGCAAGGCTCCATTCGGCCTTCAATAAGTTTGCTATACTTTTCAGGCGAGTTTCTTGCCGTGAGCTCAGGCAGTGGCAGGGCAAGATCTTCTGGGATTGCGAGCGGCATCTTTGGAACGCTAGGCTGGCACAGTGGCTAGACTTGAGGCTGAACAGTGGCTGAAAATCTCAATTCATCATGCAGCTACGTCATAGCTTGGTCATTTCCTTGCGTCGAGTTCAGCGATCAATCTTGCACGCAAGCTGCTCTGCCTCCCCTACTATGGACATTGGCGTCAAAGCTGCATGCCATTGCTTGGAGTGACGTCGGCTGGTATGACTGGTGCGCATGCTCCGCATTGGCTTGGCGATAGAGGTTGAATGTGTGGCTAGGGTGCGCATGTTGATTCAGGCTATCCAGGAACGACCCCTTGTCTTGATGAGCATGTTGGCATGTAACACATGGTGGATGCCGCAGGTTGCGGGTGATGTGTGTGCGATTTGCGGACACTTGCAGCTTGAGGAGTTGCTTGAGGTGCCCTGTGATCGAGTTGCAATGCGGAGATTCATTGAAGCAGTCGTGGAGCATTGCGGGTCCATCCAAAAGGTGTTGAAAGGGTACATCAAAAAGTGCATCCAAAGTCGCGAGGAGCAAACTTTGTTCAATCGCTCTCCGGCATGGATGCAAAACAAATTAGGGCCTCCATTAAGCACGCGTGCAAACGCTGTGTTGCTGCACAAAAAAACTATTATTGCCTTGTATTCTTGCTTCATGAAATTTGCCCAGCGCATATCTAGTGAGTCCAACGCCACGGACATTTGACTTTACATGTTTTTTTTTTTTTGTGGAAAGGCAATTCCATGTTCCAAAGCGCCGGCAACACTTCTGCTCCCGTGTTGCAGGCCTCATTGCTTCAATGCGCCTTTGCGAAAAGGAATGGCACGACTGACATTTTTATGACATTGAAATGATGCGTTTGTCTTGGTGGTTTTGTGGGCATGCACGGCAGAACGAACCTGGAGGTCTGCGGATGGCCCGTGCACAGTGATCCGGGTTTACGAAGTTGTTTTGTGAAAAACAGAAGCCTTTTCAAAACAGCAAAAGTGTGCATGCCTTTTTGATGCTCACGTAGACAGACAGACTCGACGTTAAACGACACGACGACCGACAGGACTCAGGCGGAGCTGAAGAGTCGAAGACACAACACACACACACACACACACTTCACACACACACACACACACACACACTTGTCTCGGGAGAGAGAGAGTATGTGGAACACGGTGCCGCCGTGCACAGCAGGGTGATTGCGCAGATGGGCCGTTTCTTAAGGGAGTTCTGAGCCTGCTTCTTCCGAGGCGTGTTGAGGCTCCTCGGCCGTTCTGGGCCACATTGAATCCGGAATGTGATGAATCTCCGGATGTGGAGTTGGACGACATGAACGCAGCAACCATGTGTGCTAGGTCCGCTAGGTTGCAAGGATACTGCATTCCAAACAAGTTTCACCCCAGCTGTTGATGGTGGTTCACCGGCTTTACTCTAGCTTCGGTAACATTGATCCCACAAAAGTTTTCCTGGAGGAGACTCCCTTGAGAGACTGTACGGCTTGCATAGTGCTTGATGTGATCGAAGTATCGCAGGAAGCAGGCAGGTATCAAGGGTGTAGATGGGGCTTCGCTTGGAGAAGACTTTGAATCCTCATTTTAGAGAGAAGCACTGCAATTTTGGACGAGTGGATGTATTGATCCTATTCTTTTGCAAGCGAATGTAATGTACGCCGGACGGCTAAGCCAATCGCAAAGAAAGAAAAGCTCTGCCTCCCGAGCTGATCTCCAGACATCCTCTCAGAACCTTGTTCACAACTCCTTTGCAGAACATCTTCTCAGGACCTCTTCTCTCCTTGCTGGATGCCCAATCGCAGCATCTGATTGCAGTGAACTTTCTGAGGCCGTGTCTTCAAGCCGCGTGTCGTGATCATGTCTCCTCCATGCGGCCATTTCTCTGCGTGGCACAGATTCAACAGAACTAGGATGAACTAGGTACAGCAAGATCAGTGGTATTGCTGGAGCGAAGGTTCTCTTGAGGTTTGGGATCCAGATCGCCGAACTTCAGCATCATTCATTTCATCTTTGATCACCCTCACGGGGCGAAAGTTGGCAAGGTGCAAGCGGAGATTGGAAGGGAAGTCTGGCGTCTGTCGATGTTGTGCTTGATCACTGCATGTACGCATCTGTTCATTTTACTGTCCCGAGCTATCGCGCTCACCATAACAGCAGACGCGGCCTATCTTTGGTTGAACCCTTATATGAAGTTCTGGATGCCTTTTTTTGCCGCCACTCACTGTAACTACGAGAATTTTGGTCAAATAGCCCCAAATTTGCTTGTTTCCAGAAGATGCCCGGACTATACTCTCGATTTTTCGCAGACGAAAGCCCCCCAGTTCTGGGAGGGCGTCTCTGCCACCTCTTTTCAAGAGGGGCGTGTTGGGCACCCCCTTTAAAGGGAGCCACGAATGAGGCTACCGCTTTAACCGTGCTAAGAGAGCAAATGAATGCGAAGCAAATGCAAGCAAATGCAACGCACTAGAGTTGTGTCCAGCCGAGGCCGGTGAAACGGGGCAGCTGCTCACACACGTCCACGGGTGGAAACAGTGTACGTTAACTTGCATTCCATTATTGCATTCTTGCACTGCACAATCTTGACGAATCTTCTAAGTTAAACAACCATCCGAAAAAGCAGGTCCATTCATTCTCTCTGCAACCTCTCTGGAAAGGGATGCCCCAGTGCCCCTCTCTGGCTGTGATCACTTCTGGACGAGGCGGAAGCCTTCGGGGAACTGCCGGTGCATCTGCTCGATGAGCTTCGGGTACTCCAACTGAAGCACGGGGACTAGAACAACTTGATGTTGATCTCGGAAGAAAAAGGTGAGAAGGAGAAGTCACAGTCACACAGTCATAGGACAAGAAATTGCATCTCTTTGTCTCTCTTTATACGACTCCATGGATTCAACTCGTGGTGAATTTCACATGCCTCGGGAGGGAACCAGCTCTGGAGGTCCGTGGCCCCGTGCTCCGAGGCGCTCAGGGCCTCACACGTCGTAGAGACCCGGAGAGGCCCTAGCGGCTAAGACGATTCGTCTTCCTGACTCTAAGAGTCAGCTGCTAAAGAGCCTTCTGCCTTTTGCAAAAGGCAACCTGTTAAAGCGTTTTTTCTGGAGTGCTGTCAGAGGAAGCGGAGCGCTTCCATTCATGGCCTGGCCTGGCCTGGTAGACCTCGTACCAGCCCTTGTCCCGCACGGGCCAGACCTCATCACGAGATGTTTCCTCCTTTCCTCCACAAACTTCTCTTCGGCTCCCTTCGGCTCCCCGGCAGGGTTCAAGGGAAAGGAATAGCCCTCGGCGATGCGCTCGAGCAGAAACGTCCGCAGGCCACCCTGCGCACTGCGAGTCTTTCGCATTTTCTTTCAAATCAAGATTCGCCAGTTGAAAGGGGACGCACCTCGTCCTTGTAATCCCAGGGTCTGGGCATCATTACAAGCCACAAGAACAGCAAGAAGATGCTGAAGCCGTTGAGAGCTCCAAGAAGCTCTCAGGACCCAGCTTACCGTGCATCTCGTTGAAACCATGCCAAACCACCAGAAACTCGTCGTCCAGCTCCTGGCATCGCATCTGAACACGCCGTCAAGGGATCCGTCTGAAGATTCGGGAAAGCCTGCGGGAAATAGAAGTTGCCTGCAATTTCAAACAAACGTCTCTTCCATCACGGTTCAGCGGGGCCATACTGGGCCCCTGACTGCACTCCGCGCCGTGGCGCACCGCGCCGCAAGGTGCCGTCTCGGCGACAACATCTGCGATGAGCTGGTACCTCTTGAAAGCCCTCAAGGGCCCAAGTCGTGCGCTTTAAACAAACCCCACGAACCCAAGACTCCAAGATTGCTGTTGCCATACAGTATTCTGTGGGTTTAGGCTCCAAGGACATCCAAGGACTGTCGGGCACGAAGTCGGGTCTCCGAAGCCGAACTTGGGCAGCTCCGGGTGCACGCCGTCCTCGCCGTCTCTGTGTCTCTTTTCTTTGAATTGCTTTCCTCTCGTTTCTCTCAGTAACGGAGCAAGCGCAGCAAGGGTCAAGGCTCCTCCTTCTCGTTCTCCTTCTTCAGGACCTCTTAGAAGAAACGACAAAAAGAAGAGGAAAGGCATCACACATAATTGATATGATTTCTGGCCTCGAGCCAGCGGGAGGTCCAGGGGTTGTGGTCTAAGGATGTCAAAATCTCGGAGGTCCGTTGGAGCAGCCATGTGATCAGCTTCGCTTGGTCAGCTGGCAGCTTGGAGTAGCGCATCCCGCGGCTGCCCACCGTGAAGGTGTCGAAGTCCGAGACCACGGGCTTCACGTGGGCTTCCGCATACGCAATCAGCAGCCCGCGGGGGTTCATGGGATCGCTCTCATCGTACTGATACAGGACCACCTGATTCTCTTCAACTTCTCTCCTCTCTTCCCCCCTCTTTCCCTTCCCACTTCTTTCCCACTTCTTTCCTTCTTTTCCCACCTGCGGCTCGGACTTGCCGCGGATGGCATGCAGGTTCATGTCCATGAAGGCAGGCTCCGAGCGCCGGCCCGTCTCCCAGCCTCGGAGGTCTGAAGGTCTCTCACTTTCCCCCTCTCTTTGAGAAAATTCTAAAAAAAAAAAGTTCTCTCTCCTTTCCTGGCTTTGGGTCTCCCGGCCCATCACCGGGGTCAGGTCACTGCGGACGATGTACATCTCCCGGATCAAGGGCTCCGGCAAATCCAAACCCCAGCTCTCGGGCCTAAAGGCCGAAACACAGGGAAAGAAAAAAGGAAAGAAAAAAGGGAAAAATAATATATATTTTACTCAAACTCTTACACACACCTCTCTCCTCTTTCTCTCCTCTTCTGAAGCTCTGAGCTTTCTTGCTGGAAGTCGTCCACCAACCGGATGGACCGGTCCTCGATGTCCAGGCTGCCATCTTCCAGCCCGGCCTAAAGCCAAACGACTGAGACTTTGCATGCATGCTGCACATGCTGCATGCTCATCTCTGAAGTCTCAGCTTCCCTGCCTGCAGCAGCTTCTGCGCCTCCTGCCGTGAAGCCTCAAAGCTAAGCTGGTGATTTGATGTGATGTGATGTGATGTGGTGATGTGGCGCTTCGCCCTTTGGCCTTGGTCTTGTAGTAGATGGTCACCCGAGACTCCCGCGGGGACCTCAGCGCTGCCGCTTGTGCTGCCAGCTCAGCTTCTCATTTCAAAAGCGCTAGGCATCTTTGCATCAACCACCTTCAGTATCTACCAGTACGCACTGCACACGGCCCAGAATTTCAGTGTTTGGATTGTTTTCTGCTCTTCCCCTCTTCCAGCGGTGCACTTTGTTGTGGTTAGAGTTGGGAGTGCTGGAGCTTCAAGCACTGGGTTGACGCTTGCTGGTCCTGTCTATGCTCGTGCTTCTCTTACAGGACGCGGTTGCCTCCAACCCGCAAAAAGGCCAAGGAAGGCAGCATGTGTTTTCCCGGAAGCCGAAGCGTGGCAAGAACGCACTCTGGCTTTTTGCGACTACTGGTTTTGAAGTTTGGGAGGGGGGTCCGTCCTTCCTTGCCTTACCAACATTTTGTGGATTGCTTTTCTAAAGCAATCAAGGGACAAGCGTGCCGCGCCAGTCAGTTTCATTTCGCAGAATCGACAAGGATACTCACACCACAAGACGCTCTGCAGCAAGTCCCTGACGACTCGATGATGGAGCGGTGGTCGTTGTCACTGATCTGGATGAAAGGCACGAACCCCGAAAGGACCTGAGAGTGAAGACGTCTCCCCCGGTCTTCCCGCATTCTCTCTCCTCACTTCTCCACTCGAAAAAATTCCAAAAAATCCTGAGGCAATCAGTGTGCTTCTTCTCCGCGAGTCCCGGAGTAAAAAACAAACTTCTCCCTGTTTCCCTGTCTCTTTGTGACGGAGCTTCTCCTTGGGGCCCTGGCGCCTTTCTTCGCGGACTTGCCCTTCACGTTCAAGCCCTTTCCCACCTTGGCACACAGGGACTCCTCTTTAAAGCGAGTCATGCAAAAAGGAGAGGGAGAGGAGGGAGAAAGATGTCTGAGCCGTGAAAAGGAGGAGATCCTCTTCCTGGCGCCCGGCGGCCACTCCGGAAAGCATCTTGGCGATGGCGTCCTTGCTGGTGGGACGATACACCGCGAACCTGACAACGCAAAAAAGGAAGCTAGGGACATGAAACATCTAAGCAGAGCCTTTTGCTTTCATCCTGTCTTCGCTGGAAGACGACTGAAGACTTGATTAGTCTTCCATCAGCGTTTAGCCTGTAAGCTTCCCGAAGCCTAAGGGGACTCCACCTCTCTCTCTGACGGGATCCTCGTGACTGCCATCGTTCTTGCACCTGCAAAAATCCTTGCCGGCGGACGTGCCCCCGGTTAAATGTCAGAAAAACGGGGTGTGCCAATAGAGCCGCGGTCCTTAAGGGGAACACGACAGGAATCTGTCAGCGGCGACAGGCTTCCTTTCATGCTGAAATTGAGCTGAGCGTCTTTTCGAGAAAAAAAAAGGGTCTGGGATCGGTTCTGCTGTTGCCTCAACGTGGCCCTGCCCCGATTGTTTCCTGTGAGTCTTGATGGCCCAAAATTGAAGGTTTCACAAGCGTTGAAAATCGCTCATCGCCCATGAAGGTGCTCACACAAATGAACCGGCTGTTGAAACTTTCAGATGGGGCGTGGCTTCGCGCCATGCAATCTGAAAGGTCTGGTTCTTGAATGAGGGCTAGCATGACCAGATTCTCAACTTGTAGCAGAGGAGCTGCTCGGAGGTTGGAGGCCTGCCAAGCTCCAGAGTCTGCAACCAAATTCACTTTTGTTTCACTATTCTTTCAGGGTTCGAGGATTCGTTGGCTTAGTGCTGCGCGCTGCGCTTGCAATGTTACTCGGTCTACGGGTCTGCAGCCCATTACATCTATTTGCGCGGTAGATATTCATAAAGCTGCCTGGCTGAAAGTGGAGCTTCATGATGCTGTCCTCTTGAATGAATGAATGCGAGAATCAGGGCGCGCATAAGCTGTAGCCTTTGCCTGTGGAGATGCCCAAACTATCCCAGAGTCACTACACTCGCTGAATCCCTTGTTTTGGGTTTGGAGCCGGAGGTGCTGCAGAGGAAGTGGCAAGTTGAATAAATTTTTCTCCAGCCATCACAGCCCACTGCCAACCATTGGCGCAGAACGAATCAAAATCCGGTACACCGCGGACCATGTCTTCTAAACATCAGTTCTCAGACCAAGGATCTGTGGTCCTCTCTTGCTTTTACTAACCTCGAGCAGCTCGAGCACCAAGGTCTTCAGATTCAACTGCGGGGCATCGTCAGCAACAATACGGAGCTTGTGTGCAATTCTAAAAAGTTATGCCAGGCTGCGGCCGGGCAGTGCAGGCACGGAGACTTTGGGTTGGGCACGGCAGGAAAACTCTCAGGCTAAGCGGTTGTGAAAAATGTTCTGATGTTCGGAATGCAGAATTTGGGGCACCACAGGGAATAAGATACTTTGTGGATATTCTGCGGCTGAGCACTATGGCACTGCAGGGATATTCTGCGGTTGGGCACTGTTGGGATAGTTTACCGTTTGGCACTGCGGGGATACAGGCACTGCAGGGGCCCCGACATTGTTCGAAATGCATGGAATGCAGTGCGTGTTTTGTATGCTGATGCAGCAGCGCGTAGAGACGAGGCTGTTGATCTGCAGAACCCATTGTCCTTGCGCGAGTTTGCAGATAACATTCGGGCGTGGGCGGATTCTCCTGCGCAACCAGGCGTTTCACTATTGCGCTAGCGCTGTCGGGTATAGAGGCTATCGCTACCCTTTAGCTGATTGAATATTGGCGTTGAGCCAAATGCTACTTGAGCCAATGAGGATGCAGGCTTGAGTCATCCCCAGCCAGGGCAAAGCCCTTTAACATATTTACATTGGGAGTGCATATCTCCTCACACCCCCCCACACGGCTAGCTGTAGGGACAAGCGTGAACTTGTTCAAGAGACAAAAGAGTTGTTGCTTCGACGGAGGAAATATCTTCCTTGGCACCCATTTTGAAATTCCTGCATTGCAAAGCCTCATTCGCCCCTTTGACACCACCTTTGAAGAAATGTCTGTACGTCATGTTGAGATTAGTTGGCCGCCTACACATTTGAAAAAACACGTGACTGTACAAGTGCGTCTCACACTCTCGGTTCTGCGTACAAGACTTGCGCGCGCACATGAACCGCTAGGCAAAACTCTAGGCAAAACGTCAGTGGCGTGGCAGACACAGCATTCTCCCAAGAGATCGAACTTTAGGAGATGGACGCAGGCTCACCCATGGGAGCGTCAACAACGTCGAAGGTGACAAAATAGTCCATCAGTCCATTCCAGCGTTCCATGGCGAGAATCGTGCTTCCGCCATGAATTCTCCGACGAAAGTTGACGGCCAGAGGCGCGACCTTCTGCTTTGCCTTGCTTTTTTGACGTTGTTCCTGTTCGGCAAGCATAGCAGGTTCAGAGGTGTAGTCGATCGGGAGGAGAATCAGACACTTGACGGAGTGGCCAATTAGGGGAAATTATAAGAGCCTAAACCTTATAAGAGCGTAAACCCTTAGACACAGCTGATCGCACACTTTCTCATTGGAACAGATACTACTCTTGATCTTAAAAAGGCCTTCATGGACAACACATGGGTCATCCTTGCACAAGGGCCATGCAGACGTCTTCTCAAGCACACTCCCCCTTCGACCTTCCTCGAATCCATAGGCGGTATGCCTGGTTTTTAACGTCACTACGGCCCACACATCCTGCGAAGTTCCGCCTCTTAGAGGCTTACTATCCATTCAGGACACACGAATGCCCATAGGTATGGATTCTTCCAGTGACTGGGATGCTGGCTCAAGGCTTTTTTTCGAATTTTAGCCGCCTGATTACGCCTATGACTAGGAATGAAACCTTTCTAGGGTTATAGGAAAACCAAGGGGTCCCAAACCTAACGCTGCTGGTTAGACAAGGAACCGAAAACACCTTAAAAGGAAAACCCTCTTCAAACACCCTATTTCAATACTTCAACCAAAGATCGGGACATCATAGCTTTGTAGCTGTAGAATTCCAAGGTTACCATCCATAAGCGCAACCGACTCCTTAACGACCTCGAGTACTATCTGGTTGGGACCTTGAAGGAGGAGCCTTAACCGGCGGTGAGGTTGCTCCTAATGTTCTCGGTGGTGCTTTCGCTGGTGCGATATTACCGTTGCCGGGGATTGAGTCCGCCTTTTGGGGGTGGTGCCTTACTAGAAGGCTTCGACTTTGGTGGAGCTGCCTTTGACAGTGCTTGTTGCTCATACGCGGTGTAGATAAGGAACTCCGTACGCCCTTTCCACTGGCAATTCTCTTCTGGATGAAGTACTGCTGTGGTTGAAGAATGCCGAATGTAGATTGCGTCCGTCTCATCCCTGAAAGTACAGAAACTCCTACGCAAACCCACAGCCGTAAAGGACGTCTTACCACAGAAAATGCCATAGTCCACGTGCGAACGAAGGTACCTTATTATTTGGTGGCAGAACTGAATGGCAAACAGTGGCCTCTTTGATACAAGTTGAGAGGCTCTATTGACACTGTGTGCTAAGTCAACTCTGAACTTTGTTTCCGCCCAGGTCAATTCACCCACCAAAGCTTGGGCTTTTTCTTACGTCCACCAAGACTAAGTCCTGTTCTACATCCTCTCCCTCCGATTTCTCTGGCAAGATAGGTGTGGCTGCTTCCCCTTCAACATCCTGGTGGCGAGCTAAAAGTTCTCTTACGTACGCCTCGTGAGAGAGATGATAACCATGGGGATGCTCCCTTATGCCCAGGAAAGGCACGCCTTCACTGGCAAACTTGGGGTCGCTAGTCTCCCAGAATCCCTGAATGGCCCGGGTAGATGCTCCTAGTAGCCATTGGCAAATTGACAACAAAATGTCGTCCACGAAATGCCAATGAGCCCATAACACGTTACTGAAGTTTGAGACTGCCATCCCTTCTCTAAAACTCTCCACAAAGACGGCTCACTGCGCATCTGGACCATACAGTAGGTAGACCCGTCGCAATCCCATTCTCAAATGGCCAACTTCTTATCGCTAAACCGTCCCCAACAGGATGGTGAGACACCCAAGCCGTAAATGGCTCTCAGGACCTCCCACTGTCCTTCTGAGGAGATTAAAGCGATTCTTACAAGTTACAAGGGCCTTCGGAGGTTTCAGGATTATGCGGCGTCATACTTTAGGGTCACCTTTTAGAGGAGCATGTAAAAACGCTTTACGCACGTCTATCACTGCTGATTTCCAGCCTTCCATAGCCGCTTTCCTGATTTGCACCCTAATGGCACTAGAATCCAAACCTGAAGCGTACAGATGGAAACGAGCCAAGGATTCTGGCTGGGACAGCTCCGAACTAAGACGATCGCCCTTTTGGTACTTTCCACACGCTACTATACATGCCCTTCTGGCCCCGTGAGAAGGTTTACGTTTGTATACCACCTTAGACGGTATCATCTCAACAGCCCCACTTTTTTCGTCCGCCTCAGAAACCTCAGAACTCTGGATCGGCTTAATTGCCCGCTATTGGAATCCATTTTTCAATCTCGGCTAAAGCAACACTCGTCTCAATTGTTTGGGCTTGGTACTATATCTCCGATTCCTCAGGGACTTCAGATGCCCCTTTTGGTCTCGAAGGTTCGTACTCGCCTTTAAGAACTGCCATAGCCCTTAACTCACAGCCCTCACTTAGATTCTCAAAAAATGATCCGACATGCACATCCTTCAGCCGAGCCCTTGACTCCCGCTCATAATCCAAAACGCAACCCTCTACCTCATCATAGGCGTGAGATACTTCACTAAATTCACGCTCCTTCAGAACCCGGCAAAACTCTCTCTCGAGGCTCACTACCAAATTACTGAATGGTGCGCTTCCTACTGGAGAAATCTTTGCGTGGTCTATGGTGGCTTGCCCCTCTTCCATCAAAACCCTAGACAAAAACATAACTTCCCTTCTTAACGTTTCATGGGCTTCCTCGGAAAAGGCTGAATGCACTCAAGACCCCGGGTCCTTGGGAAACTTCCTGTTCACCTACCTCACCTACACCATCCCCTTCTGAGGCTGATTCTTCACCTCCTTCTGGGTCCCCATCATCCCCAGAAGAGAACCCATC